TATCCCTATTCCTCCCTTGGTGGAACTGACTGGTTGGTTTTTTTAGGGTATTCATATTTTCTAAATCTCCAGGCTTTCGCACAATATCTTCACATGGCATTGTTCAGGGCTGTGAATAGGTACCTGCATCTCTGAGTGAGGTAATTTGGATATTGGAAGGAATACAGTAATGTTAGCTGAATGCATTAGTTTAAATATGCCTGGACTCTGCTATATGAACTGATATTAGCTGTCTTATTTGCACCTTCACAAAAAGAAAGGCATTATTTTCCTGTGAGAGTGCTGCCATCCGCCAGCAGCATGTGACTAGCTGTGCCTGTGTGCCACACACAGTTCTGCCTTTTAACTCTCTCCTGGTCTTTGTGTAAATTCCAAGACACCTTTGAATCTGGAGGACCACCTTGGCTGGTGGTGCTTACCATCATAAATGTTTGCATCTGTGTAGTGGAGCCATGGTTTCTCTAACCTTCATTCTTTCATATAGCCTGCAGGTGCACCGGTGTGCTACTGGATGTTATTTTAGCACTGTGTTAAGTTCTTGTACCTATTTGTTGGTGGGATTGGATTGATTGTACTTGTACGGGGCCTTCCCAGCCTTGATACAATGACTGGTTGAGTTTGGAGCCCATCTACGGCATGAATTGAAATCTTGCTCAGGGTGCATGCTTCTCTGAATGCTTAGTTCTCTCATGGCTGCTCCAAACATGGATCTAGAAGTGAAAACCAACTACTTCCCCCTCTTTCTCCCCTTCCAGAAACCACTACCGCTGCAGTGCAGCTGCAGGAAGAGGCGCGAGGGGAAGATGCTACTACACGCTCACCTTCAGCATCAAGTTTCCTCATAAAGATGATGTCTGCTACCTGGCTTACCATTATCCCTATACTTACTCTGCAATGATGGTAATACTGATATGTCCATGTTGATAAGTTAATGGGCCTGACAGGTTGGAGCTGCTTGGGTATGTGTAGATTTTGAGATCACGTAAAGGACCGTTGATGATCAGTTAATGGTCATTAAGTTGTCACTGCCTTGTTTGCAGAGCTGCCAGCTCTGAAGCCCATAATGCTGTAGGAGAAAAAGGAATTTCTATGTGGGATAAGTTGGTTCTACCACTCATAATGCAAAACAAGGATGTCTCCGTTTGCTTAGGGTTGCAGGATCCTCCTCCTGGAGGGGTGGGAAGCAGGGGACTAAAGCTAACAGCAACTCAGAAGTGAAAGCTGCTCACTCCTTCTGATGGAGCGTAACAGCTCAGCTTTCAGGGCTGCACCCAGCAATCCTGCAGTGCTGGACCTCCTTTGAACGCTTGGTCAGGTGTTTCCTCTGTGTCAGTTGGACTGGCAGCAGGCATCTGTGACACCCCCACCAGTGCTGTCAGTGCAGATACTAAAAGAATAAAAGTTTATGCCATTAACTGAGTTGTACCAAGTTTGCTTCCTGGGGAAGGATTTGTTTTCTACAACCCTTTCTGGCCAGTAGTGGATGGTAAGAGAATTTTCTGGGATATGCATCCAGCATCCTTTCTCTATAATTGATGTAGGACACCACAAGGTCTGAAAGGAAGGTAGGATAAAAGAAGGGAAATTAATAGTTCTGGGATTAGCTTTGCTTTGTTGTTAAAGATGAAAAAGATGTTACTGCAAATGAAGGTGCACAGTTCTGGTAGCTCAGTTCTCCTTCCTTCTCCCCTCAGCTTCAGTTGTCAAACCTTTTTCTTTTGGGCAGTAAGTGTCAATATGGGTTGGCAAAGTCTGGGCTCACTCTATTTTTTATAATAGTATTGGATTGCCATTACCAGATATGAAAGATTATGTCTGAGGGAGACAATGTCCTCTCCCACCTAGGAGCCATGCTGCTTGGCATGCCAGCATAATTAGGCTTAGATTAATTCCTACTCAAACAACAGTCTCTTGTCAGCTGCTTTGCGTCCCATTATAGATGTTCAAAGATCCTGCTTCCAGTACCTGGGAGAGGGCCAGTCAAGCCTTCACAGTCCAAAATATGCCTGCCAGCTCACTTCTCATTAGGTTTATGGATACCAGTTACTTTCAAAATCAATGAAGAAGAGCAGTGGTGGGGTTTGACCTATAGCCTTGAAGGCATGTATATACTACAGTCTGCTGGGGAAAGGACAAACACAGTACTGAAGAATTGGGTAGAATTATTCACCACCATACTTTATTACTGAAATGCAGTGCCTCATCATTATTTTACTGTTATTGATTTCTATCTTCTGCTGGCACAAAAGCAAGAGAGACTTGAAGAGTTTGTATGCTCTGGGAATCTCTGAATATCTAACCTGCTCCTGAATGAATAGAATAGAGATGAAAAAAAACGTTATTCCTTGACTTGCAGGGCCAAGTCTTGAAGTATTTCACTGTCTCTTCAAATAAAATGCTCATTGAAGTTAAAGGAAATTTTACCCCAGAAAAAGTTTAAATGAACTTAGACTCAGCAAGGACCATGAAGTTTGGTAAATGGGAATTATGGATGGAAGATATTGGTAGATTATCAAGTTCAGCTCTTTAGCCAAAGCAAAATTGTTGCCTCTAATAATTCTGAAAAGCTTCTTTGCTTCAGCTAATTAAAAATGTCGAGTGATGCAATTTACACATTTCCATGTTACTTTAATTTCCACAGTAAATAAACTAAATCAAGTTTGCACACCAGTAGATTTCATTTTAAAGCATTTGTCTGTTGGTGAAGTATGTTGGTTTTACATATCAGTAATAAATTAAAAGTGATTATGAACCCAAGGGCTCAATTAAATACATAGTGCTTTGGGGAAGATGATAAACTTGTATATGGAGTTAGTATTTGAAAATGTTTTAAAATATCATATATATTTAATAGTTGCAGGCATATTTATAGGAAATACACATTGCAGAATGCTATTTGAACTGGATGCCATCTGCAGTTCATTACTTTTTGTCCATTAGTAATTACATTTATTTTATGAAGAGTAATTTATCTATTTTTACATCACAGTGTTAATTGTTTGGATATCTAGATGAAATCTCTGTGGCAGCTCTACCCAATTAAGTTTCAGTGGGCACCAAGAACATAAGTAAATTTTTATATTGAGTTCTCTGTATTTATATGAGATCGTTAGATGTCAAATAATTGAATTTACTTTATAAAGCGATATGCTAATTGTTTTATGATATAGCTGACTGTAAATTTCAGTTCTGTGTTTACATTCAAATGGATACTGGGAAAGCAATCTGAAAGATGTTGAGATCCTAGGTTTGAGGAACAGAAATGTCTTGTCCCATAAACATTGGTTAAAATTTAGCCTGGACTTGTATAGACAAAAAGACCACGTAGAGCTTGTTCAGTGAATTGATGTGTTTTAAAGTACTATTGGGACAAGTGTGCATTCTGTACTACACCTATTTCTACCAGTTGAGAGATGACTGGTGTTCCACAGCACTTACTACCCTGCAATGGGATTGCTTACACTGATTTTGGCACTTGTAATTACAGTGTAAACAGAGAACTACACGTCATCTGGTGTGTGGGTGAGAAGTGGTTCTGTGTCTAATGAGGCGAGCAGAATTTGTTCCAAAAAGCCTTTCGATTTTTTTTTTAAGCTGCCAATTCTTTTTCTTAAATTTCTCAAGAATCTGTTAGACTTCAGAATTGTTTAAAACTGACATAAACTTTGTAGAGGGGGGAATAAAATCTCCCTTTTCAAAATCAGTAACTGGAAAGGCGCTCTTCAAATTTCTCGCTAGTGATTGTACAAACTGTTGTTTCGATGTAAACTTCTTGGCTGTCTCTGGTGTGGAGTTATTGCTGAGCTTCACTGGCATGTGCTTGGCAACTAACCAGTCAGTTCTATAAACTCTCAAAGATGGTGAGTTTTCTCATGTTTCTACACAGTCCCTATTAAAATACAAGGAGTAGGCAATTCTCCTTCGGACGTCATGTATGCATAGGAATTCATTTGCACAAATAAGAAAAGTACATATGAACTGTTTGGGTAAAATCATAGAACAATTTGGGTTGGACCTTTAAAGATCATCTAGTCTAACGCCCCTGCAATGAGAAGGGACATCTCCAGCTAGTTCCTAGATTATTATATAAGAATCCTGCACAGCTTCAGTGAACTAGGATGTATTCTGAATGGCTCGTGTGTATCTGTGGGATGTAAAAGGTGATGATATTAACTGGCAGAAGAGAGAAGCTGAAAAATTAACAGGAGATTAAATTACTACCAATGATAACACAGCTACTGGAATAAAATCTGATTTTACAGACTGAACTCATTTATAAATCTGCTTCTTTCTCAGTCCCACCTAGATATGCTGGAACAAAACAGGAACCCCAAGAAGGTTTACTGGAGGCAGCAGACACTCTGCCAGACCCTAGGAGGGAATCAATGCCCATTGCTCACAATCACGGCCATGCCAGAATCTAAAAAAAGAGATGACTTGGAGCAATTCTGTAAGTAGCTAAATGAAGCACTAAAAAAGTTGCTGGTGAGTTGTGGTCATGTCAGCAGTGGCAATGACAACTTGTTTTGTGAATATGTTGATTTTCTTGTCCTTCTCATTTTGGGAAAAGATATGTTAATATGAGGAACAGCCAATTACATTGCTTTTTTAAAATTACAGATTTACACGGAAGAGGGAGGAGAGCTGACATAATTTTTTACTTCAGATTTTTCTTTAATGATCTGAACAGTTATAAAGCTCAATATAAAATATCTCCAGCAGCAAGAAACTGTGTTCAAGTAACCAATTCAACAAGAAATTTGATTGTGTGTCTGTTGATGTTCTATATTGAAGTGATTTATGTATTTTGAAGTCTCAAACTTGGGGAAAAAGAAAAGTGTAAGATGACTTTTTCCCAGCTGTGGACAGCAATTGAAGCCTTCTGGTGAAATTCCAGCTCCTCCAACATGCCTGGTAGATCCATCTGGACACAGTATAGCTCCTTGCAATCTGTCCAAGCCCTAACTGGTAGTGTGCTATCTAATATTAAATATTATAACTGCCATGTTGTATCTAGAGGTGGATATTTCTCATTGTGAAATCAAAGACTTCAACCTTGATTAACAAGATTAATAAAATGCAAGTTTCTGTAAACAACAGCAAGTAATAAGAAGATTCTGGTTACCATCATGTCAGGTCATCTTTGATTTGAGAGCCTAAATGACTACCTACATGTGGGTTGATTTTTTTTCTTGAGACAGTAATAAGTCATAAACTGTTTTTTTTTTTTTGAGTACTCTTCACATATGTATCACACAGGTTGAGAACTTTGAGGGAGTGTGTAAATTTAAATTATCTTAAGATCTTTTGGGATGTTAAGCAAATATATCATTATCTCACTGAGATTAGGCCAGAGGTTTCTCATTGCAGAATTCTCCTTCCAGCAGTATGTGGTGATATGTGAGTAGGACTCCTCATAGTGTCTATCCTGCATGTATAAACTAGAAGGAAGCTCAAATATCAGACTCAGTGAAAAATATTGCTATATTTCCTGGTTTCGGTTTAGAGAACAGTGACTGCAGTTATACTGACATTACAGGATGATAATCATGAGCTGCTATATTTTTATCATAATAATTTTATTATAAATCTAGCATTTACTCTAAATTAGCAAATTTCTGAAGAAGAACATGCTCTTCTAGGTTGAAATATTAAAGGAAAGTGCAGGCTACATGGAAATCCATAAGGTGTGTGCATGTACACAGCCTTAATGGTGGAAACTGGAGATAGTGTCAGAAAGAAAACTGGGTTGTTGGTGTTGCTATTACTAGTATTACTTACACTACAGTATTATATACAACACATGATTAGAGGGTTTAGCTGTGGTGGACACTGTCCATGCTGACATGAACAGATAATTCCTGCCCTTAAAGCGTTTTTTTTTCCATGGTAATGATGATATTGAAATGGAAACCAGTGGGTGAGAGGTGTGGTGGAGGAGGTTGGTTTTGTAAAGGTGCCTTTGGCAGGCTGCAGTTGGTCACCTGGATAGATGTTAGATATTCACAGCAATTCTTAAACCTCATGGCAGAAGGTCTTAATGGGGCAACTGAAAGAAAGTAGGCTGTAATATCTTCTTTGAGGATGGGAGCCATCCAGAATGGATGTACAGTGAACAAGTTTTTCTGTCCAAGAGGGTATGCCTTTCCAGTGAAGGTACAAAGCAAAAGCTAAGCTAATGTTTGGATTAATCACAGCAAGGACTTGGAGTGGGTCCATCACATGATGAAAGTGCTAAACACCTAAGTGTTAAAGCACCTTTGGCTTTGAAATGACTTTCTAATAGGTGTGTGTATATAAACCATGCATGATCTTCAGGGCTAACCCTAAACTGAAGCCTTATTGTGTCAAATGTGGTACAGCACAGGACAATGGATGGTCCCTGTGCATGCAGGACGTGCAGCCTATATGCCAGACCAGTGAGAGACACAGATGCTGAAATGAGGATCATGAGCAAACAATAACACAGAACTGACCAGTGCAGGAATACCCCAAGAGTCACTTTGCTTTTAGGGAGTATCTTGGCACAAATGTGATAATATTAAGAGGCATTGTCGTTCCCTGGAACACTGTATTCTCAGAGCATATCAGAATGCATTGTGCAAGATAGCCTGGCAGGCTTTCAAAGGTCATTACCCTGTCTGTGAAGACAAGAGTTGGCTTACTTATTCAGCACAGATTTGCTGAAAGATTCATAAAGGATCTGTGAACAATTTGGACAGATACTTGTTTTGAATGCTTCAGGCTGTTGTAATATCCAGTATTTAGGTTCAAATCCCAGTTATGTGGCTGAAGTCCTCTTTATTTTCAAGAGAAAGAAATATCTCTGGTTTGTGATATTACATGAATTCAGTGGGACCTTGTCATTCTGACCCAAATGCCCTGAAATCATGTGCCACTAATCTCTTCCTCTGAAGCTTTGCAACACAGTAATACCAAGGACTTCCTAGATTTATCCATGAACCAACTGAACTCAGTCAAAAAAGAACATGGAGAAAACCCAGCTGTCTGAACTGGAATAGAAATAGGGGAAAAGAGTGCCAAAGCAAGACAACACAATTTCTCTCAAGTTTCCAAGACTATAACAGTAAACACCAATGCTCTTAGGTGGTGAAAATATTTGTTGTTTTATCAAGGGGAAGAACAGCAAGGCAGCACACCATGTTTTATGCTGTGGGGATGCCTCTAGGCAAATCTGAATAGTCACGTATGTGCTTATTTTCCTTAAGCAGCTTGGATAATTATGGCTTTTGGGGACACAGCCTAATTTGTGCTCCTCTGTGTGGCTTTGATCAGCACGCACTTCTCACTTTCCTCATCTTCTATGATGTGCCCTTCTTGCTCCAAAGTGGTTTGGCTGAAGGAAGGACCTCTTTGTCAATATTTTCCACACTAAAAACAACTTAAAAGGAACAACTTAGAGCTAAAAATGAAGGAGCCAAAGAGTGGAGGTTTTCCCCCTAATAACTCCTGCTGGTTTGTACAGTCTCCATACATATGCATTTAATCCTGAGAAGTGATGTGGATCTCCAGCACTGGGGAACTTGGCAAATGAGTAATGAATAAAAATGGATACCCCTTGTTCTTTCCTTCTGGTTCTGGCCAATTCATAGTTTTGATGAGCTATAGTCATTTTGCTTATAGTTGCTATAGTCAACTTCGTTATTTCTCCTTTGTACCCTTGTTAATCTGAATCTTTAAAGTTTCTTTTTCAATACCACAAAGGGCACAGGTAAAACACAAAACTCACCAGGATGATTGTACTTAAATGCTCTAAATCCTTCTTCAGGATAGATACATGGGGAATAGCAAAAATCACTGCTGAAGAGGTATTGGGTGGGTGAGGGGTGTTAGGAGGCCAGCGATCAGCCCAATTGGAGTGTGGTGGGAAGGAGTTATTACAGTCCTGGAGGTGCCAATAGAGTGGAGGCAGCCCAGGGACAATGAGGGCATGGCATGGCATCTTCCGTGTCAGCTCTGCTTTATTTTCCTTGCTCAACTCTTGCAGATTGGTCTTGTCAGCCTTTTGATTAATGTGGCCCTAGGATGGTTAAATTTGTCTGAGTTAAATTTATTAACATGCACCTTGTTAATAGGAAGCACAAGGCATGGACAGGCACTGCACATTCAGTGCATACCGAAGGGAAGAAAAATGGGCTGCTGTTTTCCTTCATTACGCCTTGTTTATGTGAGGCTTTGATAGTCACTCCAGGCTCCTTGCTCTTGCCTCTCTTTCTGTCTCCCATTTATGTGATGGTGGCGTACTGAATAATTCTTATTAAATGTGCAGTTCTGAAATTGATATGTAGAAAGCAAGAGTGAGCCAGGAACTCTTTGGCTCTCTGTGCTTTGCATCTTGGTCCTGTAACAGCTCAGTTACAAGCACAACTTCTGTTCACACTTTAAACTTGTCCTTCACTGCCATCATATGAAGACTGAGCTTCCAGCAAGTAGGGATGTCTTTACTACTCATTCTAATTGCAGTAACCCCCATAGTCTTGTGATAAAGATAAACCCATTAGTTTCCCATACTGACTGTGTGTGGGAAGCACCAATGATGAGATGAAGGGACTGCTTTTTGTCTCCTCCCTTATCTGTCTTCTCCATATTCCTCTTTCTCTCCTCCTTATTCCTTCTTACAAAGTTAGACTTTGCAGATTTGACCTTCCATATTATGTACAGAGTTTTTCTTCAGAATACTGTAGCTCTTCTCAGAATCATTTAACTCCCACCCCCAAAAAACCCTTCCAAATCGGCAAGAGAGTTTTCTGTGAGCTTGCATGGGTTGTGAGCCTGCATGCTCCACCTGCTTTGGATATTGGATCATCATATGTAAGCCTTTCAAAAGGAAAGAAGTCGAGGAGTGGAGAGGGAAGGATGGGCATGCATTTTCTCTTTGGTGACATTGTTCCTGGCTGTGTTAGGTCTAGCATTAGACAGTGCCTGATGAGAGTTAAAGGGACTTTTGAAGGGAGAGAAATTCCCAGCATCTTTGACAGCGTTCTCAAATTAATGCAGAAACAGTGAGAATTGTAAAGCTTTCACTCTTAGTGCCAGCTCCCTCCTCAATGAACTTAATAGGTGCTTGCAGAGCTCTGAGTTTCTTGGGTTTGCCATACACAGCCCTGTTGAAGGCAGTGTTAATGGCAGGCACAGGTACTCAGTAAGTTTGCAAACTCTTGATTCACAGTGTTAGGCCTGCAAATGTGGAGTATGTAACTGTGTTCTTTTAAACTCCTTGGCAGACAGCTGACTAGACCCTGCAAGTCATAGAATACTGTTGTACACGGCAGAGCAAATGGAGAGATTGACTCTTCAAAGAAGTGTAAGCAAAAGAGATCTAAGCACTCATATACAGGTGATAATAAAATTATTTTCTAGTTAAGAAAGTAGAGGACACAAATACATTGTTAATGTTAACAGAGTGATGGAATTAAAACCACCGAAAGC